GTATATATATATATATATTATTTAGGTTTATACATCTATGAGTATTCATCGTTTATTTTATGTGTAATACTTGTTCGGTCTTTGAGCGTCAATTCCTTTTATCTAAACCAGTCGGCAAGATAATGACATGCCTAGAGCATTTAACAGTAACTTTTACAAATAGCAAAATGCAAACACTATTAAAAAATGTCACTGTATCTGTTTAAAAACAATGTTGCAAAACTTAGATTATAGCTCGGTGGCGTAGGGACTGACAGTGTAACAAGTGCAAGGCACTGATGATCAAGGCCATTAGAGCCCCTTCAATAAATACGCCTAAAAATAATACAGTAATAAAATATAAACGCCTAGCGGGCTACACCAATTTTTATACACTTATCTATAGTTAATAGTATACTAAATGCAATATAACACTCAGAGACCACATGGCACAATGAATTGAAAGTTTAATATAATCATCAATATAATGCATGTTGGCTTTTCTTTGGAATGTTCTGCCTATTACAATCCGACAGGCAACTTCCATTGATGATTTTAAGGCAGCTTTAAAAACTTACCTTTTTAACTTGTATTTTTCTTAATTTTTTTCCCCGAATTTGATTTTTACTGTTAAGCGCATTGAGGTTTTAGCATAATGCGCTATATAAGCCAAAATTATTATTATTATTATTATTATTATTATTATTATTATTATTATTATTATTATTATACTGTAACAAGTAATGTGTATATATACCTATATATAATTTATATGTTGCAATAAACATTTATGTAAGCATATAATCATTTACATATGTTTTGATGCTTTCAGCCATATCTTAGTCGGCAAACATTTTCGGTAATATCCAGCGTGCTATAGGTTTATCATATATAGTTACCAATATGTAACATGGCGTTTTCTCTTGTTATGTAGACGTACTATTTATTCTGAGGCAGCTCACAGACATAAAATAGCTCACGAGTACATGGATAATCATTCCAAGTACCAAGATTTGGATCTCGTTTCCATTGGTGAGCGCAGTCTTCGTTATTATAGTTGTCAGGTTGATTTGTATGCCAACTTGTGTATGTTGTCAACTGGTTGTTGTCCGTCCAAACCCACCGACCTTCGTCACCTGCATCTGTCAGGCCAATCCAGAAGGTATAGTCAGATATGGCTGCCAATCCACCAGTAGATGAATCCCAGAGTCTTGCGACGAATTTATTTTCGGCTTCATTTCGGAGAGATACCAGATGGCCCATGTCGTATCCGTTGAAGTGTTGGTTGCAGCGGGCTTCTGCAGCTGCCCAGTTCAACTTGGTCCCGAATATACGGTAGCAACTGTTTTGGAATGGAACCCAAAATGGAGGACACGCAAAGTGACGTATTTCATCAGCTACACACATCTTTGCTGTGACCAATGTTATACAACAAACCATCCACAATTTAAAATTCCTGCATATCAAAAGAAATAATGTTCATATAATTATAATTCCAGAAAGTTATCAATTCATAAGTGGCCGGAAAAAATAATTAGAATGTTATAACCAATTTAATGTTTATGTCAATAATTTCGTTTCTTGCGAATAAGCATAAAATATTATTGTCGGTCTCGTAGCACAGAATCACACGTCGTTTAGAATCACCATTTATGCCATGCCTACGTTTTTATCCGACTACAAACTATTTTGAATGAATAAATAAATAAGAAGGGTGGGACAGAACATTCACTTTAGTTGAATTTAACTGTACATAAGAGAGAATGCATAAATAAAGATGAGTAAATGAAACGAACAGTTAAATTTACATATTGAAATTGTATCCTGCTCTCATTTTATATGTAGCGCTTCTTTGATTTTACGTTGGCAATTTTTTTTCTTGTGGAACGTATCATAAATACGCCCCTCATGACACTAATCCTTAGGCCTACATTTGGATAGACTATATTAATGTTTGAGAAATATGATAATTTGTGTCCGTTCTAATATTTTCGTTTACGCGTGCTTTGAAATACCAGCCCGTTTTTTGATACAAGAAGCAGGAAGCGTTAGTTTCCGCCGCAAATATATGTTTATAGTTCATATTGATGTGGTTTCCGTTTGTTCCAGTACTTTTAAAAAACAATTTAAGGATTCTTAAGTATAACGTTATGGTGTGAGGATGGAAAATGATTGGTGGTGTCTAGAAAGTAGGCACGGTATTTGCGATCTCAAGAACTAATCCAGGAGTTCCGGGTTTGATACTGCCCACAAATTAATTTAAATATTGCTAAGAATACTATGAACAAATACTCAATGGACGAATATACCCCTAGACGGCCCTCATTCAAAATGCCCACCTGGCTTGCCAGTCGAGACCTTCAGCTCCTCCATCGAGCAGATGCTGATGCAATCGCTGAATTTGTTATAGAAATGAGGTATTTTCGTAAAATATATCCCTTTATAATGAAAGATCAGATAAATTTACGTACGTAAGAATTGATACAATGAATGTGCTTTCTTTTGCGGTTATCAAACGCGAACCTTCGAAAGTTAGTCCACTTTAGGAATTTCTTTTGTGTAATTTGAGTAAAATCACCAACACTTTACTATGAATTAATATTCTTTCATAGCAGTAAGTATGATTACCCCACAATATATCAATCAAGTAATATTTTATTTTACAAATCAGTTGCAAGAGGGGATCCCAAAACGAAAAGGGCACTCCTGTAAATGACGTAAGTTTAAATTTTAATGACGTGGGGTACCGTAGTGAACTTTAAAATCAATCAAAAACGCATTTCTGTAGTACGTCGAAGCGTATATTCAAGATTCAAGATCCAAGATTCTTTTATTGTCTGAAATAAAACTCAGAAATTGCATTCACTGGCAAGGTTAATATCATATAATATATAAAGAAACAATTACAAAAATATAGAAACTAATTAGCACCAAACAACATCTAGTCAAGATGAACATACAAAGAAAATTAAATACAATTACACGTTAAACTTAAACTAAACTTAAACTTAAACTTAAACACATTAAACTTAGTGCTGTACTACTAATTAAAACTACAAATTATCTATTAATATTGTTATTATAAAGGTGAATGGAATTGGGAACAAAGGAGTTTCTATAACGGCAACGTGTGGTGGGTGGTACATTTCGACGGAAACTTGAGTTGTTAAAAGTAAATTCATTATGTAGTGGATGAGTTGTGTCGTTTATTATTTTCTTAAGTTTAGCTAGTGTGTATTTTTCATAAATATAATCTAAATGTATAATGTCGTCTTTAACAATTTTCTTAACAGTCTTCCTGATGGAGTCTAATTTCTTTATATTTTGTTTAGTCAGGTTTTTATATGTACAGATTAAGCAGTAAGTTAAAACACTCTGTATTTTTGCATTATAAGACAAGATAAGAATGGTGTTGTCATTAAGCTTCTTAAGTTTTCTTAGAAAATACAATCTTTGCTTGCCTTTTGTCATAGTAATCTTAGTTTGTTTATCCCATTTGAGCTTATTATCAACAACAGTGCCTAGGTATTTATAGCTTTCAACCTGTTCAACTTCCTGATTATCTATGTACAATATATCATGAGCATTGTTTGTTTTGCGGAAATCAAAGATCATTTCTGTAGTTTTTTTTTTATATACTAAGCACGCAAGATAAACGAAAATAACATTTAAAAGATTTCCAAAAATACGAAGTTGTTCATGGCCTGTAAGTACTAATTCGGGTTCAGGTATTTGCAGGGGGTGCAGAAAGAAGTTGAGGCACTCTTATATAAATGACATAAGTTTAAATTACGTTGGGGAGGACTTTCTTCTGTGTTGGCGATCTCCCATCTTCAGGGGCGGATCCAGAGTATTATCTGTATATAATTGAAGAAGAAATATGTGGTAGACACCATTAAAAATAATAACTGATGGCTAGTTGTTGTTGTCAAGTGCAAGTGGATTTGAATAATTATTCATTCATTAAGCAACATTTATTTCCGCAAATGTTAAACAATATTTATAGTAAATCATTATTATAACAAGAATATATGTAAATAAATTAATAATATGAAAAACGATTAACTAGGATCTTTAATGGCAAATAAAAATATCTTTTCACGTAGGATACTCACAGAAACAACATAATTTAAATAAAAATATTAAAAAGGCAAACTATACGCCATGCTTAAAATATTGGAACCACGCTTCAAAAAAATATTAATGCAAATGCAAGGTCAATAAACAGACTTAGCGTGTCACTTGCTATGTACCAAAATAGCAATTGTTTGTATCCACCCTTTAAAATTTTGTGCACCACCCTTAAAATTTTGAGGACATTTTCTGAAATTTCACCATTCTTTAAAAATCCTGGTGAAAGGGTTGCCATGGGGAACATAAGACAATGAAGAGGGTGAAAACAGTTCCATAATAAAAATACAATCCCTAAAGATAAAATTTGACAATGTTAATGAGAACCTCAGACGACAAAAGAATTCCCCTTTAAAATATGTTTTAAATGTAGTAGTAGTATCCGACGACAAGCAATCAAGAAAAAACTAAACTGGAACAACTCTCTCGACACGAAATGTTCAGTGTATCATACAAACGTTTAAATACCTGCCTCTGACCCCGGAAGCTCTGGCGCATATAGCCCTTTAATTGATTTTAAGCATTTCGTATGGAAATAAATAAAACATTTATTTCCATACGAAATTTTAAAAATATCCAGTGGCGGATCCAGTAATCTGAAATAGAGCTGGGCCCAGAGAGGGATTTTTACAGACGGAGAGTGTAGCTGGACTACCACTACCCCACCATGGTTGGGGCTGAGATAAGAAAATTTATGATTATGACACCTCTAGATTGCCGGAAATGGCACTCTCAGACCTAAATTCTAATTCCAATTTTCCTTTGTTTTTTTTCCATTTTTAAAAAATAATTTTGAAAAAATTAGGGCCGGCTCGGCCCCACTTGAATCTGCCACTGATTATTATGGCGTCATTGCGAGACTGCGTCAACGTAACACTGTAGTTTGTAAACTTTTGGTAGGCTTATCCCCTCTAAATCCGCCCCTGATCTTTCGAGAAACTTGATAAAAATTATTATGAAAAAAATAATGAAATTTTTTCCAATTATTTAACAAAATCACATGTATAATTGTTTTGCTCGCATACATCTAGATGTGTATAAGAGACAGGTCTGTGGGTCACCGACCATCAGCCACTCTGGATCCACCCTAGGAACAGGCCTAGGCTTACATGTTAGAATATCAGTCTGTGAAGTGATTCACAGCAATTCAGTTACTGCAAGTAATAACACTGGCTACATATACAATAGTACTATTCTAAGCATAACACCCGATACTGTTTTGTGAATTCCTTCTCCCCGTTTCGTTTCTCTGGCTCCCACTTAAATTTATCATTATATTTAAAGAGATCAGTTTTCGCAGTTTTTTTTTGTGACGTTCTTCTTCCTCTTTCGTTTCCGGCTCCCACTTCAATTCTTATTTAAATTTATCATTTAGGGCCTCAATCTTTTGTTGCGTTGCCCTTAAATGGAAAAAACAAAAAACAAAAACGTGCGTCGGTCTGTCGGATTTTTCTATTTTATTTTTTTTCAGTAATACCTGAAATAGGATAGGCCTCAAACCGTTGTCCCTATTGTATCTCGGTATCTTTTATTCACAAACCAATCAATACAATTACAATATCAAATCCTTAGCAGCCAGTGGCTGAATTGGGGATTCAATTTACAAAACGAATACCTTAATTAAAATTACAATAAATCATTATCATTATTATTAAAATCAATTAAAAAATTGTCAAGATTGTTATTATTTTAATTTTTTTATACAATTATTATTTAAAAAATTTGATATTAATTAAGGTAGATATTATTAGATATGCACAAACATTAAAATTTCCGATTTAAAAAATTTTAAAAAATAAAGGACAGAGCAAATATTCAAAAACAAACAAAAGAAATTTAAACAAATATCAAACCGACCGAGGGTACAGCCGCCCGCATGCCGCTGGCACAGTCGCACCCAAAACACCATTCGGGCGGGACCCGCCCCCGGAGCACACGTCAGCACTCTCGCAGAAAGGACACCTAGGAATGGATTAATTTATTTGATTAAGAAGTTTGGTGAGAAAAGGTATAGGGCTAATTTTAAACCTTTTTGTTCTAGGAATAACGGTTTCGAACTTTCTGGGATTACGGAGACGCATTGATGAGGTATTATTGGAGGTTTGAAACCAATGACAAAATCTGTGATTAATAACTGATTTTCTTCCTATTATGAAGATCCTAGGCCTAAGGCCTCGTAGGCGCCACAATAGAACAATGACAAGCTTGCCAAATAAAAAATATTAAATGACGGAAATTATACTACCAAGTATATTTAAATAAATTTAACAAAAATAAATCTGTTTAAAGAAATATTTATTTCTACATCCGATCCACACCACGACTACGCACGAACAGATCGAGCAAACCATACTATGGCTATGAAAAATGGCCAAACAAGCACCCTCATACGTAATACAACTGAAGTTAACTTCGAGAAAAAAAATTCGTTCATGGTTGGCCTAAAACCGTAACGGAGCCTAAAATGTCTTCGTAGTACGATACCTACTTTAAAGCGATGGCTAGACCTAAGACTGTTTTTATTTATTGCCCAATATGCCGTAATGAACACGATGTTTGATTCAAGCAACCGATAGGCCTAGTTGTAACACTATTACTATTATACTATTACTTGTTGGTAGAGTATAAACAATGCATATGCCTCTCTATGATCTAATCGTGGCTTGACAGCTCAGCGCGAGAGATCCGAAGTTGCGTGCATACATCGTCGTCGTCGCGCTCGGTTCTCAAAATTATGTCTTCTATTTTACCGATTTTACGGGTGCATCTAGGGCCCGATTTTGGTAAAAATACATGTCTGTTTTGATATAGAATTAATATAAGCCTACTATAAAAATAATAATTTAGAAAAAAAACCCTTTAATTTACTAAAGTTACGCCCCACACGTCTTGTTCTTATTTATTTCCTCATTTTTATATTCATGCAATTCTCTCATATTGCTTTAGTTATCTTGTGAAATTTATCACATTTGGTCTTTCTATAAATAGGACTTTGGCTGTGAGCAATCAAATGAAATGAGGATAACAGTGGAACTGCTGAAAAATGGATAGGATAGGAGTATTTCGGTGTGAATCACAACGAGGATAGCTCACTAAGTCCGGAGACTTGTTTCCAGTGGGGCTTCCTTCTGGTTGTGAATTGGGCAGTACACCGAAAGACTCCACTCTTTTCCGATGGACCAATGGCTTAAACGTCTCATCCGAAAGACGGTGCACTATCGTAACTTGCATTTCAGCCCCCCTACCCCCCAGCTGAAACATAAGTTCTGAGAGCAGTGATGGGGATTAAACCGGGGACCTAGAGATCTCCACGGTTCAGTGCACACCGTGGCTACCACCAGTTTAGCCGACTGAGCTAAGCTGCTATCTCTAAAGTAACATGTTTGTAATCATACGTTTAAAAAATACGGAAGCCCGTTAGTGCCACCAGTGAATTAAAATTTCAGATCCATTAACTGGCGGCCGCCACTTAGTTATCTGGCAGCAATAGATATCCTATAGGAATCATATAGGAGTCGTATAAGTATCCTATAGGAATTTTAATATGTTTCCTATAAGATTCTTAATGAAATCTTATAGGAAAACTGCAAGATTTTTAAATGAAACAAATAGGAATCTTATAGTTATCCTATAGGAATCCTATAGAATGCTTAAAGGAATCTTATAGATTTTCTAAAGGAAGCTTATAGGAATCTTATATGAATTATATAGGTATCTTATAGGAATCCTATGGGTTTCTTATATGAAATCTATAGGAATCTTATAGATATCTTATTGGAATCTTATAGGAGTCTTATATGAATGATATAGGAAGGTTATAGATACCTTATAGAAATCTTATAGGAGTCTTATATGAATTATATAGGAATCCTGTAAATATTTTTAGGAATCCTGTAGATATTTTTAGGAATCTTATAGATATTTTATAGGAATTTTACAGATTTCTTTCTGGGATCATATAGGCGTCTTATAAGAATCCTATAGAACTCTTTTAGTAATTCTAAAGATATCTTAAAGAAGTCCTATAGGTTTCCTAAAGGAATCTTATAGAAGTCTTATATGAATAATACAGGGTCCCTATAGATATCGTATAAGAATCCTATATGGTTTCCATAGGATTCGTATGGGTGTCTTATAAGAATTATATAGGAATCCTATAAGTATCATCTTTATTATCCTATAGATTTCCTAAAGGAATCGTATAGGTGTCTTGCAGGAATCCTCTGTGAATGCTTTAGTTGTTATTTTTATAGGAAAGCTATAGATAATGATTTATAACATATTCATATAAATTTCTTATTTTTGTAAATACAGTATATACTGTTTGTTAATGTTAATGCAAGCAATGGTTGCTTAGTAAATTGTTATTGATGGGTTAGCTGGTTGTTGTCATCCACTGGTTCCACTGCCACAATATTGTTTGCATGCACAAGCAGTATTGAATGATTGATGCATTTGATTTCGAGCTGGAGTGACTACTGAATGGAAAAATAATAATGGCTTAAACAACTCCTGCAGACATACAAAATACACTGAGTTCAAGATATATAAACCATGATTTCTTTAATTAAAAACATCAACTATGCATCATGGGGTAGGGATATTAATCCCTAGGGTCTCGATGACTTGCATACCCCTTCACATAATATTGTTCGTCCTAAGCCTTACTGATGCACATCCTTCAAATTCCAGCGGTACCTAAATGCTTTACAGTTTTCAAATCAGTTTTTTTTTTCTGTAATTTATATTAAAGCCTCAACTAGAGTTTACTATACAAAACCCTGTTCAAAAATCTGTCGCGTTACAGTTGTGTATAAACCAGCAATTTTCTGTATGAACTGTCTATATCCGTACTTTTTCTTGTCCAATGGTAGCAAAGCAAATTGGAAATCTTGCTGAAAGATGAAATTGTGAATTCTGCAGAGTGACCAAACTAGGTTTGAAATATTGAATCATGATGGCTTCAGATTTTCACCCTTGCTTCACATGTTGAAAGATATAACAAAACAATTCTTTAAATCAGAGAAAAGTGATACATGCAGTTGTCCTGTGCATTTTGAAACCCTTTTTTTGAAAAAAAAAAAGTGAGTCATGAAAAATCATAGAAATACATACACTAGGTCAAAATAAAAATTGAGGGGCAAGGCAAAATAAACAAGAACTGTCAGTTGGAATATGAATAATGCTGTAATTGTTTTAAAATTTTAAATCATAATAATTAAGCAGATTTTGCCGTTTATTAAAAATGTGTCTTAAAATGTTCTACCCACATTTTAAATGTTGTATTTTCCTTCGACATGAATGTATTAAAATAAGAGTATGATATACGGTAGCTGAAATAAGATACTAGCACACTTCTTAATCATTAGTTAGTGAATTAGTTGTTCCATCCATTTTTTTAAGTTTTAAAAACATTAAAATATTGTGCAATATGTTAATATCCATTATGGAGTAGGCCTTACATACACATTATTGATTAGTTGATAACATCCACCATTAGTACTAGTGAGTTCCTATATTTAAAGTGTTAAAAACTTGAAAATAAAAAAAAAAAAATTATTCACCTTTGAAAGTCAGGCAATTTCCTGTTTCTCCGACTGCCGCAATAATGCTTTAAACAAACATTAACACCTTCTTACTTCATGAGTTTTCACTTAAAGAAAAAAAAATCCTTTACCAACAAATTCTGAAAGAAAGTCAACATATAATGATTAGGCGATACTTTTTTGATATTTTGTTTTGCAAACCCACTGTTCGACGAAGATAAAGATTTAAAATAAAAATATAATTTTATTTTTGACCAGTTAGCTCACCCACTGCGTGAATTGGAAATTGATAAAAAAAAAAAAAATGTTTATTCTGTTCTGCAACATTACCGAAAGAAATCTTAATTTGTTCACATAAATAGAAGCATTTAACAGATCAATGCAAATTGTTGTAAATATGAGGGAGTTTTGGTAATAATGATAATAATAAGAGTAGCATATAGGCCTAGCCTATAAAGGCCTAGGCCTACCCCTAAAAATTATTTTAAAAATCATATCATGGATTTTACAATAATAAATAAGTGAGAACACGGCCCAATTTACCACCCTCCAATACTTAAATAAATTATAGGGCAGACTGAGCTTAGCCCTCCTTAGAATATCCTCAGTTCTGTCTTTTCTTAATAATAGGCCTAGGTCATAGCATGCTTGTTATCCCCTAGCTAGGCTCCTATGCCTAGAGATCCAATCTAATCTAATCCAAACCAATCCAATTTTTGACTTAAAAGGTGCATTATACTAAGTCTAATGCGCCAATTTAAACAACATTAAATGAATAATAATAGAAAAACAATTCTTACCTATTAGTACTGCTGAAATACTTCAGAAAATATGGTTAAACTGCCTGCATCATGAATGTGCACTGAAAAAGAGCTCTAAAACCACTAACAAATTTCAGTTAACTGATAACATTCAAAAGCACCTTTGTTAATTTCCATGGCCTTCAGTGATAAACATTGAAAGTGACCAATCAAATTAAGTAATTTGAGATTATCTGTGGTTGGCTGAACAGATTAAATGACAACACCTGTTATTGTTAGCTTGTTAAACTTGTGTTTTAAAGTTGTATGTTTTATTATACACCATGATTTAGTATAGGCCTAGGACTTTGGCTATGTAATGTTAATTATACTGCCAGGACTTTCATAATTTAATTTTTTTTTAAATTATTTCAGCAGAATAGGGAAGCAGGGAAAATCTCCCAAAAATATGACAATTTAGAGGTTTCAAAGGCTTAGAAAGTACCCTTACAGAAAAAAATCTATAGAACTATATAGACCTTCTATAGAGATTAATCAATTTCTATAGAAATTATATTCTATAAAATTGTTTTATAGAGGAACTAGTTTCTATAAGATTCTATAACATTCTATATACACATATTTAATGTAATTTCTATGATCTTAACTTTTTTTTGTTTCATTCAATTCAATTTCATTTATTGACACATTCGTGTCTGACCAGTATAGTCCTATCAACATGTTTAATCTTGCATATTCAGAAATTCTATAGAATATTCTATACAAACGATATGACAAGTTCTCTATAAT